GGCGGCCCAGAGGAGGAGGAGGAGGAGGAGGAGGAGGAGGAGGAGGAGGAGGAGGAGGAGGAGGAGGGGGAGGAGGAGGAGGAGGAGGAGGAGGAGGAGGAGGAGGAGGAGGAGGAGGAGGAGGAGGAGGTCTGTCCAACCCCGAACCAAACGGGTGGCGAACAAGTTGGGCTCCAGCTTCGCCTCTCGCATATCGCTGAGCAGCACCAGGGCCCACCGCCACTGCCCGCCCTTCTCGCACGCGCTGATCCCGGCGCTGTAGCTCACGACGCCGGGCCCCAGGCCCGCCGCCCGCGCCTCGCGGAGCAGCGACAGGGCCCGCTCCCACTGCCCGCACTTCTCGCACGCGCTGATCCCAGCGTTCTGGCTGACTATGAAGGGGCCCCAGGACACACAAATAAATACACACAAATAAAAAGATTCCCCATATTTTCGCATATTTTCTGGTTTTTGTCTTCCCCCCCACGTCCCATATTTTCCCATATTTTCCTGGGAGTGGACGATTAATTGTGTCTGTGTGTTTTTTCCCCTCCTGAGACTAGTACTGACTGGGCCAAACATTTTTGGATCCGCGGGTCGAGAGCGCACCTCTTCCCGTCGAAGCTGAGCGGGCCGCGCGAAGCTTGAATTGGGCAGAGGAGGGGAGGGAGGAGTGGGCGGAGCCTCAGAGCGAGGCCGAGGGGAGGAACAGCCTCGGATGCAGGCGGTGCAAAGTGACTGGGCCAAACATACCGCCCTCCCCCACGCAACTTGTTGGGCAAAACCCCTTCGGCCATGATTGCGGCTGCCGACTGGAAGCTGCTAGCGCATCCCTACGGCCACGCTGGCGCGCGCATGCTCCCGCGCAGATCGACCAGTCGGTTTGGCAGAACTGATGCGGCCGCGGTGGCGCTTACCGATGGGAACTTCCCAGCGCGTCTGAAAGGTCGCGCTGGCGGGGGGGGGGGCACTTCAGTGCGAGGAGTCGGCGACTCGCACTGAAGTGACGACGATGCTGGCGATGCTGGTGACGACGATGACGATGATGAGGTCCGTGTGTCGATGAGGAAGGCGGCTGCGTCGGTTGTGCTAAACCAGCTGCCCACTCTGCGCGCGAGCTTGCCAGCGCTAGCGCAGCCAGATAAATGTGTCAGCCCGTGCAAAGCAGTCACCGCAATCGCGGCCGCATGGGTTGCGCAAAACGAGTTACGGATGGGAGAGTGGAATGGTTGCGCGCACCATGCAGTTGATGACTTCAGGATATGCACGGTGCATTGCGCCACATAGCTAACATGACTTAGCTTTCGCCACCCACCCAGCTCCCAACCTCAGCGCACAATACTCCGGATTCCATAATAAAGTGGGGGGGGGCACATTTGGGGGGGGGTCTGATTTGAGCTGTCTTGGAGGGTTCGGGGGGGTCTGGGCAAAGGGCCGCCCTTGCATGGATGGTCTGGGGGGGTCTAAAACTTCTCGACTGGGAGGGCTGTGACCCCCTACCTTTTATTGAATCGCTTCGCTCATTCCGCCGGCCCATTTCGCATGACTGAGCCTCTTGGGGCCGCTGGGGGGCCTCTTCAGCGTCGCTTGGGGGCCTCCTGAGGGCCTCTTGGGGGCTTTTGGGGTCTCTCAGGGGCCTCTTGAGGCCTCCTTGGGGCTTCTTAAGGCCGATTGCTTGAAGTTTTGTTTTGTGTTCCCCCTTTGGGGCATCGCTTGGGGCCCTCTTGGGCCCCTCTTGGGCCGTCTTGGATGCCTCTGGGGCCGTCTTGGAGCCCTCTTGGGCCATCTTGGGGCCTTCTTGGGAGCTTCTTGGGCCCTCTTGGGGCGATCTTGGGGGCCTCTTGGGCCGTCTTGGGGCGTCGGGAAGCCGAAAAGATGGACACGCCAAAATCTGCCCAAAACCTAAGGAAAAGTAATGAATTTTGCCTCTTGGGGCCCTCTGGGGAGTGCTCTTGGAGGCCTCTTGGGGCGTCTGGGGGCCATCTTGGGCGTCTTGGAACGATCGTGTGGCATCTCGGAGCACTCTTGAACCATCTTGGAGGGCTCTTGGCGGCCTCGTGGCCCTTCTTGGGGCTCTCTGGAGGGCCACGGGGGCGGCGCCCAGGAGGAAAACCATCTCTGACCCGACCATGCCGGGGATCGCCCAGGGTACTTTTCGTCCGGGGACCCCCAGGGGCCGCCCCGCGCGCGCGAAGCAGAAGCATCATTTGGCAGCTACCGGAGATCTTAGCACGCCTCTGGCCCGTTGGGCCAGCGAATTTAGGGTTCCTTAGGTCAAGGCCGCGACTGTACCCTTCTCTCCCCTCCCCTCCCCCCTCCCCTCCCCCCCCTCTCCCCGGAGAGTCTGCTTTTGCTCCCTCACTGCTTCCAGAGGCCTCGCCTGACGCCCTCCCAAGGCCTGCTCTGCCCTGGACTGGTGCGTGCTGTTTGGGGCCCACGCTGCGAAACTGGTCTGCTCAGGACGTTGACTGGTCCGTCGAGGCCTCGCCGGGTGCCCGCACGTGGGCACCTCGGGCAAAGTTCGGGCCGGCCGCGGCTCCGCCCGGTGCCCGCCCCGTGGGCGCCTCGTGGGCGCCTCGTGGGCGCCTCCTCCTCCTCCTCCTCCTCCTCCTCCTCCTCCTCCTCTGCCCTCGCTTCCTCCTCCTCCTCCTCCTCCTCCTCCTCCTCGCCGAGGTTCCGCCCGTTGCACATGGGCGCCTCGTGGGCGCCTCGTGGGCACCCCGTGCGCTGGGCAGCCGCACAGCTGTGGAGGCCTGGAAGCGGGCACCAACTTCAACACAGGGGGTTGCCTTCACCTGTGGACGACGATCCGGGAGTTCGGTGCCGGTGGCAATAGTTCGACCACTTCGAAAGCCCGAGTATTGCCACCATCGCCGAGATACGGGGTACCCTCCCTCGATGGAGGCACCCGATACTGGAGCTGGTGTCAACTTCTGGGCCTCCGATGGCTTGCACCGCGTTGCTTCTGAGACATTGCCTGCACCGAAGGGTGGGCCGCTTGGAGGAATCGTTCACGGCCCCTTCACACGGAGGAGCTCCTCACAGAGAGCTGGCCAAAACAGCACAGGATCCCAAAAATAATCCGAACATGTCTTGGGCCACACGCTTCGCCGCAAGACACCGGGTACGCCCAGGAAGTCCGTGAGACAAGAGCCGGAGCACCATGCAGCCTGATGTTCAGTGTCCCCCCAAGACGCCCCACGATTGTCGTGGGGCGTCGTGCTTGGCTCCAAGCGCATGTGAAGCCGTCTTTGGTTGGGACCGTCAGGTGGGGCTCTCGGGCGGCACTGGTTCAAGTACAGAGTGCCCACTGCTCTCCCGCCCGAGACGCGCTGCACGCGACAACCCACAGCACCAGTGCAAAAGAAGACTGGGGAGACCCCGGATCAAAATCCACACGGGGACAACGTAATTAGCGAGGCGCGGGGGGTCAGAGGGAGCCCAGGGGAGTCTGCTGGCTGCGCTGCTGACCCTTCTCGCACGCACTGGGCCAGTACTTCTGGGACTGGTGACGTCGGGCTCCACCTTCGCCTCCCGCATCTCGACGAGCAGCGCGAGGGCCCACTGCCACTGCCTGCCTTTCTCGCACGCGCTGGCCCCGGCGTTGTAGCTGACCGGGGTGCGCCCGAGGACTGGACGCTCGCATGAGCTCCAAGGAGATCTCAGAGACAACGGCGGCGCACAGAGGAAAAAACCCAGACAGAAAACAGAAAAGAGAGGAAAAACAAAAAAAAATCGTTGATTCCCCCACACGTTGTGAAGCACAGCCTGTTGCCGAATCGTCGGGGCGAAGCAAGTGGCACTCCCCAAAGGCTGCTGAGGACGGGACTGGGCGGTTGCATCGGAGACGCGCGGAGCAGACCGTGGCCGTGAATACCATGTGGTTACGCTTTTTTGCACGGAGGAGATCCGGCCGTGCAATGCGAAGCCCATGGTGAGAGCGCTGTCCTTGCGCAGCTCCTGGGGCATGAGAGCTCGCTGGACAGGAGGAGGAGGAAGGAGGAGGAAGGAGGAGGAGGAGGAGGAGCAGAACTAGAGGGAGGAGGGCCTCCGGTGGGGGCCTGCCTTGAGGGCATACTGGGGCTGTCCGGGGCGTCTTGGGGCGCCTCGGGGCCCTCCCAGGGCTCCCCTGACGCATCCTTGCGGCCTCCTGGGCCACCTCGGGCATCTTGGGACACCCTTGTATAAACAAGCGCGGTCCACGACTCGCAAAGTACCTGCTCGCAGATGGCCTGGATTCGCCGCGGGGCTTCCACGATCCAGCATATCGAGGCGAACGTATGCTTTTGTTGTTCGAATGTTTGCGAGTGGGCACTTTGCGAGTAGTGGAACGCGCTCGGCGATGATCATCGGCAGCGCCGGCATGCGCAGGCGCGTCTCTGCGGGACGGGCGAGCCGCGCTGGGCACGAGCGCGCTGGAGAGGCGGGAAACCGGAGGGCGGCCGCGGAGGCCGAGGGGCGGAATAGGCAAAAGCGCGCTCCCCTGCTCGCACAGGAAGCGCTCGCAACTGGCCTGGATCCGCCGGGTGAAGCTTGCGATGCGTTACATCGAGGCAGACGCTTGTTTTCAGGGTGATGTTTGCGATGCGCCGTCGACGGCAACACCACACCGCTCTCCCTCCGGGACTTCGCCTCCGGCTCATGTCCAAGGCGTTCCTTTTCCTGTGCAAGCTCCTCAGCACAGCCTGCACCCCGCGCCCTCCGGCCGCCTGAGGCCCCGCCCGCCTGTGCTCTGTCTCCCCAATTAGTGCTTTGCGCGGCCCGCCTAGTTCTTAACCGGAAGAGGCTCGCTCTCGACCGGCAGACCAAAAAAGTTGTCAGGATCTTTTGCGAATAAGCGCTGTGCGAGCAGTGGAACGCCCTCGGCGGCGGAAGGTGCGCGTAAGATCGCCATCGTGGGGGGCCCGGTGCTGGCGCCCCTCGTGCGGGCGGGCACAGCGGCCATCGGCAGCCACCCCCCCGAGGAGAGAGCATCAGGAGAATGAGGAGGAGGAGGAGGAGGAGGAGGAGGAGGAGGGAGG